AATATTTAATGACAGCTCGATACTCGATTTTGTCCATTTTCACAAAAACACTCACATCAACTTACTCAAACGACTGTTACATAACAACTGCGAGTCCAAAATGGCTGAAACTTCGGTGAGTAACTGTCAACAGATGAACAACGAAATTCACTAGCTTTTATTTACAAGTGCTGCTATCTTCACGTTGAGGTCGGAAACTTTTCAGACCACCCTCGTATATAACAGAAATATTAAAAATAACATTTCTATATTATGACTTCAACGTTTAGGGATATTATATTATCCAGTAACAGTTTAAAAACATTTATAAAATATTATTCCAAAATATTTATAAAATCTACATAAAATCTACATAAAATGTTCCAAAATATTGATTTAATGTTTCTTGTTTACTGGGTTGTTAGATCCATGTCGTATTTGCACCGACAGTATCTACGAACTAAGCAAGAATAAAATGTAAATGTAAATGGATTCTTGGGTCAACATGTTAACGAATAAATGTTGATAATAAATGTATCATAAATAGTCAAATATTACATTTATTAATTCATTTAATGAAGTGTTTCGCTAAATCACATTAAATATGGGCTAAATTCATCTTGCATGCTGTCGTTGGAAGCATCGTTCTATTTTTTTTTTGGCATATAATAAGCGATATACGATGCTTTCAGCATGAAAGCGTGCAAGACGAACTTAGCTATGCACTATTATTGCATTAATTCATCAAAACCTAGCATAGCGCTGTATTAGTTTTTCCAATAGAAAAAATTCATATTACTTTATGAAGTGGCTGTTCGGCGGACCACGATTGGCATCGGAAACCAGCAACAGTTGTCATAAGGGAGCCTTTATACTCGGTTCCGAGTTGAGACAACTTGCATTTGGATAAATCAGTTCTCGATGCATTGTAAGCTAGAAAAAGATGAACGTAATAATAAGTCTGTTCGATTACGCATAATCGAATAGACATTACCCAGTAAGCAAGGAACATTATATTAACGTTTAGAAACGTTGACTTCATGTACATTGTTTGGACATTTTTTAATAATATTGTATTTATATTTTTCACATGTTATTTTTCTGAATATGATTTTTCTGGATGTTGTTTAAAAGTTTTAAAAACATTACAAAAAATATATTTTTTAAATGTTACTTTAACATTTATTTGAGATCAATGTAACATCTTAAAAATATTTCTGCCGATTAAAACATTATGGCAACCCTATTTCAATATTATTAAAACTTCCAAATCGCGGTCAAAATATGTTCATAATGATGTTTGATACAATATTAAACACAACATTTGACAATATTACAAGTTCTTCAATATCATTGTAGCAACGTTGTATTAATGATTTCTTGCTTACTGGATATCCCATACAGCACAGAAACGTTGAATCCATATCTTATAAATATTTAATTTCAACATTGAGATGTTGTATCAACATTGCAAAATATAAATTCAACGTTGAAGAAACGTTATAGAAACATCTAATGTCCGCTGAATTGCAATACCTTATAAATGTCTATAAGACGTTGCAATTCAACATTCGAAAAACATCCCAAGTAGCAGACAGCCGTGATAATGACGTGAATTTTACATCCTCTGTTACATCATTTATTCTTTAAGTTAATTAAATAATGACGTTTTTTTGATGGTCCTAAATCACAGACATCCAACCAGAGACATCATATGTATTATATCTTAATAATGACATTTTTTTACATAAAAAGACGTACAATGATGTATGACACTGATTAAAAAAATATATCTTGTAGAAACGATTACAACTAGTTAGCTTATGTTGATTTTAAATGAAATGTAGTTCTTTTATTTGATTTCTCACTATTTTTGCATCTAAAAATTTACTTAATATCCCATACAGCAATATCCCATACACAAATCTTCAAAGAACGTTCTAAGGATATTTTAAGGACATTGATACATTCTAAGAACGTCCCAGAACATTCTCTGAAGATTTTGTGCTATTTGGGACTGGTCGGATGCGAATTCCAGATTCTTAGCCCATACAGCACGCAAACGTTGAATCAACATTTCAGAAACGTTACGTTGTGACATTGCAATCCCAGTAAGCAAGGAACATTAAATTAACGTTTAGAAACGTTGACTTCATGTGCATTGTTTGGACATTTTTTAATCATATTGCATTTATATTTTTCACATGTTATTTTGCGATATGATTTTTCTGAATGTTGTTTAAATGTTTTAAAAACATTACAAAAAATATATTTTTCAAATGTTACTTTAACATTTATTTGAGATCAATGCAACATCTTAAAAATATTTCTGACGATTAAAATGTTATGGCAACCCTATTTCAATATTATTGAAACTTCCAAATCGCTGTCAAAGTATATTCATAATGATGTTCGATACAATATTAAACATATTTGACAATATTACAGATTCTTGAATATCTTTTTAGTAACATTATATTAATAATTTCTTGCTTACTGGGATAAAACTTCTTTTCCATATCTCTACCTTTAAATTTTAAAAGATAATAATTTGTTCATTGTTGTTTCAATGTTGTAGCAACATAAAGAAGCAATATATTAGGTGTACAAATTAATTTTCGGCCTTTTTTACCAACTTTAACATTTATTTATAAAAACATTAATACAAACTCAATTTTCAAAGTAATCTCCTTCGCTTTCTATTTCATTTTTGCCACCTCTCAGGCAATTGTCGGATTCCAGATCGGAAAAATGATGGTGGTTTTGATTCAATGAATTCATCGAAGTTTTTTTCGACCTGTTCAACTGACTTGAATTAAGAATCAGTTAGGTGGTTGTAAGGATCGAAATAGGTGGTAATCAGAAGGGGCTAAGTCTGGAGAATACTCCGCATGAAGAAGAATTTTCCAGCCTAAATCTGAAATGGTTTCCAGAATTTGTTTTGCTGTGGACCGGGCGTTATTCTGCAGCAGTATCATCGTCCTTCTCCCACTGTCAGTAAACGGTCTTTTTTCTTCAAGTGTGTTATTCACACGGATCAGCTGTTGTTGGTAAAGCTCAGATGTGGCGGTCTGACCAGGTCGAAGCATCTCATAGTGGATCACGCCTTTCTGATCCCACCAAATACATACCCAGTAAGTAAGGAACATTAAATTAACGTTAAAGAAACGTTGACTTTATGTGCATTGTTTGGACATTTTTTAATCATATTGCATTTATATTTTTCACATGTTATTTTGCGATATGATTTTTCTGAATGTTGTTTAAATGTTTTAAAAACATTACAAAAAATATATTTTTTAAATGTTACTTTAACATTTATTTGAGATCAATGCAACATCTTAAAAATATTTCTGCCGATTAAAACGTTATGACAACCCTATTTCAACATTATTGAAACTTCCAAATCGCAGTCAAAGTATGTTCATAATGATGTTCGATACAATATTAAATACTATATATTTGACAATATTACAAGTTCTTAAATATCATTGTAGTAACGTTATATTAATGATTTCTTGCTTATTAGGTAGCAACACGTTTTTTGCATAGATGTTCGGTTTTCGGTGCTCGTTGATGGACGGACCTATGATTTTCGCCTCTTAGGATTATCGTACAATATCTATTTTTCATCACAAGTAATAATTTTGTGCAAAAAAATCCTTTTTTTTAACCTGGAGAGCAAGGAGAGCGCAGAATCGTGACGTCTGCTTTTATTTTCGGGAGTGAGCTCATGAGGGACCCACTGGGATTCCTTGCGAATCCTCTCCAGCTTTTGTAGGCAATAGGAAATGACTTGCTGTGTCTTCAAGTGCATTTGCAAGTTCCAGCTGAGTTTGGCAAGGATTCTCGTTCAAAATTTGCTCTAATTCCTCGTCTTCCTCTTTTTTTGGTTGATCAGGGCGTTCACTATCTTGAAGGTTGAAATTTCCCTCTCAAAACTGTTGGAACTATTTTTTACACGTACTGTACGATACAGCGTTTTCAAAGCCGAATAAATCATTTCTTTCGCCTCAGCCTCAGCATTTCTTTTAAGTTGAAACGCGAAAAGAAGGCAATGCCTCAAATGTTGCTTTTCGAACGACATCGCGTCTACAACTGATTTTTCAGTTAAGTTTACCATAAGTATTAATCTTATAGCTAAAAGATGACATTTTAAAATAACTATATGGCAGGAAAAAATTCCAATTTGAATAGGTTCTGTAGTCGATGAAATGTAGGGGCCGAGAATTAATTTGTACACCTAGAAGGAACAATATAGATTCAACGTTGGAAAGATATTTATATTTCAACATTCAATATTATAACATCTCAGCAACGTTGTTTCAATTTTCTGTGCTGCATGGGTAGTCTACCACCTTGGCTACTGCGCTATTTCTTCAACTGATACTAAGGCCAAGTTCCACAACATCCGTTTAATTTTAACTACCGAAGTCTCAACAGTGATTGGTTAATTCTGATTAACTCTTCTTAACGCTAAATGCGATTGATCAAGTCCAATGGAATTACCGGTCAGTTAAGTTAACTAGAGATTGTGGAACTGGGTCTAAGTGTCTTTTATTAATCCCATATGGAGCCGAAGTACTAATTATAATTTTCTTATAATATTATTTAATACAACCACAAAAATAAATTATTTATAGTTCAAATATTTCATATAATAAAAGATAAGTCAGAGATACATGCATAAAATATTTATGTAAAATATGTTTATCTAGAGGTTGACATTATAAAACATTACAGTTTAAAAAACATTTGAAGAGACATTTTTAAAACGTTAAAAATAATAGAATAAGTACTATTTTTTCATTAAAAAGACGTTTTTTAATGTTTGGAAAAGTGTTTTGATTTTTAATATTTAATAAACGTTTATTTTAACATTTAGAAAAACATTTTTTAAATGTTAAATAAATGTTTATTAAATATTAAAAAACAAAATATTCTTCCAAACATTAAAAATATTATTTTAATGAAAAAAAGAACGTATTCCATTATTTTTAACGTTTTAAAAAGTCTTTTAAATGTTTCTTAAATTTTTTTTTTAAATATTGTTTGCTCATTGGCATCCGTTTCTGATCCGCAATACTGTATAATATATTTATTTGACTTTCTATAAATACTAATTTGTTCAATGTTATTTCAACGTTGTTCAAAAACATAAAGAATTTAATATAGAAAAATCAATGTATATTCAACATTATGAAGATGTTTATATTTCAACATTCAACATTGCAACGTTTTCACAACATTGTTTCAACTTTCTGTGTTGTATGGGTATGCAGGAAAAAGCAACATCAAAGCATAAAAATTATTACATGAATCTCCATTAATCAGAATTAAAATCTGTGAGAAGATTATGAATGGAAAGCACTGTACGATATGCATCTTCATAAAAAATTTGATTCACAAGTAACACTGCGTATGTAGGAATGAATCTTCTCGAACAACCAGTTTGTATTCGAAAGGTTTCCCGCTCGAAAAGATCTCCGCTGGACTACGCCTCAGTGCAGTCAACTGTAACTGCGCAAACAGTTCTCTTATTTTCGTTGTATTGCGTAATTATGCATTTCTTCGATAAATTGAAATATAAAAAAGTTCAATTAAATAACAATTAAATAACAATTAAATCCGTGCAAAATTGAGCGCGAATGAGCGAGAAGCTTTTTGGAAAATTCGACTCTAACTATAAACCGTATTATGAAATGATGATTGCATGTTTGCGAGGTTATGTGTCTACATTGTTGTGACAAGCGAAGCTGGTCTCTTTAACTCCCGAGTAGCTTCGATTACGTTGGATTTTGTGAAACGAGCCAGATGGGTTTGCTAACAGATCCCAGAGCTGGAACCGGCAAGATCATAAAGCTGTTATTAAAATGGGAGAAGCTATTGTGCTTTACATTGTACGCGGGAGGAGTGATATGGTTGATGCTCTTGGCGTTGCCGGCATTTAACGATAGTGCGTTTTCGTTAGATAAGAACATCGCAGAAATGAAATGCAATTGCGCGATTGCATAATTTGAATCTTTCATACGCAAATCACGCGCTTATTTACCTTTCAGATACCTACTTTTCGGAGAATGCCCTACTGCCTGGATTAGTCACAAAGGAGAGTAATATGGAGCACACATCTAAGCAGTACTACTATGAACTAGTTCATGAAATGCGAAGATATCCGGATAGTATGCCTCATGCATGGTTGTCAGCAAAATTCAGTCAGCTTCATTTAGATGTGTTTACGCATAACTTTTCCTTGATCTATCCATTCCAAGAACAGAAGGTATAGAAGCAACGATTGTAACCTAAAATGATATATGACAGTACAATTTCTTATTTTGTTCACACATGAATGCCATGATTTACAGTTTACAGGTCAAAATATTTATGGTATTGTTAGAGCTCCACGAGCTGCCAGTACAGAAGCTATAGTTGTCAGTGTGCCATATAGGCCTACTAATAGCATTTATTTGGATACAGCACCTTCAATAGCGCTATTACTTGCATTTGCAAAGTTCTGTAGAAGTGAGTTTTCTTTCAGTAATGCTATATTGTTGTTGGGCAATTAGCAGATAGTAATACATTGATTGTCTTGATCATCTTTTTACAGAACAGAAGTATTGGGCAAAAGATATAATATTTCTTGTAACAGAACATGAGCAGTTGGGTATGCAGGCATGGTTAGATGCATACCATGGTGTTACTAGTGGTCAGGAAGGAATATTGATGGCAGGAGATTTGTCAGGAAGAGCAGGATCTATTCAAGCTGCTATCAATTTAGAGTTCCATGCAATGAAAATTACATCAATTGATGTTAAGGTAAATATCTAATATCACAATTCTGCTATATTCTTTATCATAGTGTGTCTATAACCTGATTATTGTTCTCATTATTAGATAGAAGGACTAAATGGGCAGTTACCTAATTTGGATCTCTTTAATTTAGCACAAAATATGATAGCCAAAGAAGGAATTCGACAGTCCTTCCAAGGTCGGTTTGATGTCAATTATAGAGATAAATTTAGAAGCTGGTGGTATCACTTTAATACATTAATGAGTATGATAGCAACACAAGCTACTGGAATTCCAACTGGTAATCATGGACTCTTTCATAGGTATGACAGTAAATATATCATTAAAATGAGAATATGACAATACAATGGAATCTCTGTGAATAAGAAATAAGCAAATCCTAAAAATTGCCACTTAATCATCTTTTTCATTTTGTTTTCATGCTTATTTTTTTGTCTTTGATATATTATTAATTCCTATACTTAATTAAAGATGTAACTTATCTCCATAGATTTGGCATAGAAGCTATTACATTAGAAGGCTTTGAGAAATCTGGACAAGGATCAGAAGCGAATTTCTATCAAGTAGGACGAGTAGTAGAGAGCATAGTACGATCGCTTAATAATTTGTTGGAACGTTTTCATCAATCATATTTCTTCTATCTATTGCCATCCACCGATCGATATATTTCTATTGGTAAGGAGAAGGAAGGAAATGAAATTCTGAATATCTTCATTATTTCTAATAAATTATTGTGACTAAATGAAAATTACATTGCAGGATTATACATGCGACCTTTGGTGCTAATAATCACCAGTGTGTTCATAAAGGCGTTTTCTATTTGGCAAATATTGCAAACCTCCAGTAGTTCTGATGAGACAAAGAGGGACAAGCAGAGCTCAACGAACAAGGTATTACAACTTCTCGTTTAATAAACATGTATTTCTACTTGTAAAGTCTCTTCCTCTGAGTGTAGATTGAAGAATTCGACATTGGAAGTGTCGCATCCGAGGTACTGTGGGCACACATATTCGGAGTATTAGTAATGGCTTCCCCTCGTTTCTTCACTTTAATTGGCTCGCAAATATTGAACTTGCATACAGAAGATACACTGTATGCCAGTTTCGCCCTTATCACGATTCTCACGTTGTTGTGGCGGCTTTATTTGCGAAGGTGAGAATAACAAGGTATCAATCTCTCAGTTCCACACGTGTCGCTACATACGAATATAATTTTTAGGTCGGTCAGATACGAAGATCTGTCCCTTATCTGCGTTATCGCATCAATCGAGCTTGCTACTGCGTTGATGTGCATAGCGATGCACAACTTTTCATTAGCATTACTGACTGCCGTTGTATATGTGCCAGTCGTTTTGCTAATAACACCCCGCCATGAGTCCGTCAAGTTCAGGTTAGTCAGAAGTTACTCGAAATCCAGTTGTTTTACCGATTCCGTCGTGCAAATGCTCGACGTTGATTAATTAGCGGTTGCAGTTTCAACGATCTCGATTTCAATATCATTAAATTCGATATCAAGGTCCTCGATATTTTGCAGGTTTCGTGGCTGTCTGTACGTCGCGTGGATCGTACTGCATCCGTTCATCGCGTCGGCAATCGTCGTGCTGGGTTACACGTATTTCAATTTCTTTACCGATCCGATCGTGTCGTTGCTCTTTAGGAGCTACTACGCCAACAAGCAGGCGATCGTGTTCAGTATCGTTGACTCCATGATATACGGCAATTGGTTCTACAACATCAGTACCGCCGTTATGCTACCGATTTGGCTGTTGTTTTGGAACGTCATGCGCTCCAGCGCTGCGTGATGATGATGATTTCGTAATAAAACGATTATAAAACTCACGGTTGTCTTTGCATCAACCTACTTCAAGACCGGCCTGGACGAGTCCTCGAATCGTTATCCAATTATATCAATGACGAGACGGCCGATATATTCGCGATGATACAAGATACAGCTCGAGGATAACTTTGTTTGTTCTCTCCGTGTAATGAACTGAAAATTAAAAAAAAAAAAAAACGAAAGAAGATAAAAGAAGTGCTTCTCGAAAACAGTTGCAAGGAGCGATTATTTTCTCGCGAGAGTTCACAGATTTGTCAATAACATCGCGTGCGCGTCAACCGATAGATATAACATATCTTTCGACACGATAACCCGCGTGACATTCTTATTGCCGGATTTGCTCGACTAGTTTATGGCGTACAGCGAGCGCAGTAACATCGTGCGATCGCTCCGGACGGTTGTATTGTATAGGGAACGGAGAAAATAACGGTGCGTATGTTGTTTTTTTTTTTACACAAATTATGTAACGACATTGTGCGTTGTGTCGGCATACGTATACGTATGCCGTTATATTACGTAACGATATATCATGTAACGTTATATCATGTAATTAAACGAATACAATCGTATGCTCGACCATCCGCATTTCTCTTATTGTCGTAACGCTCAGTATCGCAATCGAGCATCATGGGACGTAATTAGTGGGGGAGTGTAAACTCTCTGATTGTTCTTCGTTGTGCTTCCATTCATTATTATCGTAAAAAGATCTTAATCGATAAATAGTGCTTAAACGCTCCTAGTGCCTCGGTTTATTCATTTTTTATTCAAACGATTTTGTTACTCAATACTTCGTAGAATCTCGTTACGTATATACATGGTTTGTGCGTAATCAGTTACATAAGAGTTAGTATATTTCTGGCATTCCAATCCACATTCATTAGACGAGTGCACGCAGGCCCGGTAACGAGAGGATGAGTTTTTTAACGGCATTGTAGTCAAGATGTTTTCTTAGCGATAATCTTAACCGAGAGGAATTCTCTTATCGTCATTTTTTTCTAAATTACTTTCACACGAATATCTAGGTAACAAAATTTTAAGTGTAATCTTTCCGATACTTCGAAGTTTGCTTAAAATTTGTCGAAAGATAAAGGGGTATCTTATCTGACTGTTATTTGTATATTCCATTTACTCTGATTTATGTCAATTTTTTCTCACGATATTTCCACACATCGATTAATTTCTCGTTCAAAAATGTGCGACACAAACTTGGGCACAATGTCCTCATTGCCAAGTTCCGCATTCTATAACACTTCGTCATTTTAAGCGCAAATAAACGCAAATACTTGTAAACGTGATAAGGTATCGTATTATATCAGTATTTTTATCTTACTTTATGTACACCTTATATTTGAACATTGCGTCATCTTTGAATGAGTCTGAGGTAACAGAAGTTTAACGTACTGGAAATCGTAAACAGTTCTTTATGGATAACGTAACAGTTCTTAATGTATGATAGCGTAACAGTTTTTTCTTACCACGAATTAAAAAAAAATTCTTTTTTACATATAATATTGCGTTTTCTGAAAATTACGTCTATGAGCAATAGATATTTTCTACAGAATAAATGCAAATCTTTCATTATTAACTATCACTTATTTACTTTTGTAAACTTATTTCTTATTATCCAACGATGATCGTCTCTAAACAAATGTAAAGAATTTTTAAGTACAAGAATTATTTTACGCTCATTTACTAAGGATAATATGCATATTAATGTGCTATAAATCACGTATATATGGTGTTTATTACATGTATTATTGTCATATATACTCTTTAAATTTTTTGGGATTAAGTTTCAAAAGGGGTGGATATTCATTCTAAGCGATAGTGAAAATACTGCTACTCTAAATGGAGTGATATTTCATTTTTCATAAGAGTAAATATTTCACTTTAAGTGAAGTGAATTTTTACGATTAGGTAAAAAGGAAAATATCTAGTTTTATAGTGTTTGTAGTTGCTAATGACTTTAGTTATTGCAATCTTTTTAATGGTGTATCATTTAATTAATTAATTCCACCTATTAATATGCTTGGAAAAATTCGCTGAGTACAGTGGGACTTGAAACTCCTGACTCTTGAGCTATTCACCTTACTCACTGAGTCACTGCTAGTAAATGATTTAAATGACTCTTACATAACGATACATGTGCTGTTTGCGAATCATTCACTCTTTCACAATTGAAAATTCACTCCATACGAGTGAAAAGTCACTATAACTCAGGTGATGGTCGTCACTTCGTTTGTTTAAGGAAAATTCATTCTACGACACAAAGTGAAAATTTTCACTGCACAATATAATGTCCTGTTAAAAAAAATTGATAGAGAACGATAGAATAAAATAATCGTTTTCTATCGTTTTGAATATGGATTTTGGTTCGTGAATTCACAAATGTGAATAGTATTCTATCGAATACAATAGAATACAACAGATAGTGATAGAATTTCTATCACTTTCCTATAGAATACAAAATCGTGTATAACCAGATAAAATACGATAGGATTCATATCTGAGCTTGCGAGAGTCAATGATACAGCTTAAAGAAAACGATTCAAATTGATAGAAATCCTACCGTTCTCAATCGTTCTCTATCAATTTTTTTTTAATAGGGTGAAGGAATTCATTCTATAAGTCACTCTAATTCGAGTGACTCGGCTGTCACCTCATTTTTCGAGTGAGATTTTTATTTCAAGAAATTTAGAAAGTATGATACAAAATTAAAAGATATTATAAAGGATAATGAAGGATCAAAAGTGCAGATATTATACGCTTATAATTTAACAAATACGTTTCGACCATGTGATACTATTCACATTTCCTCTTCAGTCGATTATTATAATGACAATACATAATTAGATAAGTCGCAGGATTATGATGTTTTCGTGTTTTTCGCGGTATTGGTTAGATTCAAGAAGAATCTCAAATTTGTCATATCAGCGTTCGCAGGCTACGTGAGATTAAAATAAAAAACCAACCAAAAAACTCACAATCAAAATAACTCCAACACACAAATTGGGTGCATAATACATTAGAAATAAAAAATTCTTACCTCAGACATGAAAAAAGAGTTCTGTCGGCTCAACAGTCCCGAACAGAGAAAAAACTTTGTAATCCCGTGTAACGATCGTGGAGAACGGATTAGAGTGCGGAGACAAATCTAAATATTGGCTAAAAGCAGAATCAACAAAGAGAAGACAAGAGGCGGTTTGTCAAACTAAGTGTTACACAATATAACCAAGTGGATACACAATTCGTAATAAGAGACGAAGAAATTGAAAATAAAGAAAAGATTGGGGAACATCAGAACCACTTATCCATATCCAGCAGAGGAAAATAAATATTGTCCAACTCGTTAATGTCAGACCGAAAAGTCAAACTTTATTTTTAATATATATTATTTCTGAGATAAGCCGCTTATGATAATTTGGTTTAAGTATGCGTATGATACAGCTTCCAGCTAGCAATGGTTCTGAATTTCTCTTGTAGAATTCTCATTGCGATACAATTGTGCGAAGACGCTTTCCAAATATCATTCGAAAGTTAAAAATCTCGAGCGCCTATATATTAATAATAAACGTTAAGCAACGATAAATAAAAAGAAAGAAAGAAAAACTGGAGATTATTGTCTAGATAGTTAAACCTGCGCAAACAAATTTTGAATAGAGTTTGCTACAAATTTTTGATGGCAGAAAAGCAACAAATCCAATACAGGATTTGATTATGTTGACAAACTACCGCCAAAAATATGACAGAGTCTGCTGACAGGTAATCCGGACAAATTAGTGGCAGAGCCCGTAACAATCTGACGATAGATTGTTGCAGAAACCGAGTAGACCCCGTTGTGCGAAGAATCTGCGCTGTTTCTACTGTTAATCTACTCGCATTGCCTGTCAGCAGACTCTAACGTCAAAACACGAGCTGAATATGGACATAAATGGCTATAATTTTAATATGAAATTCTGATGAAATTTGCTGATAATCTGCACGCCCTCTGCTATCAATTTGTTTACTGAGTGCATATCCCTGGTGAAAATAAAACGCTTTATAAGCCGTTCGATGATAGTTTCTTAAGAGTTCTTAAGAAGTTTATACACTTTCAAATTTTGTATGAACGCTTACTCAATGCCGTTGGATTTTGAACGCTTTCAGAACGCTTATCAATTGTATATAACATTTCGTGAAAGTTCTGCAATGCTGAAGCAACGCTTTTCAAAGTACACTTAATAAACGCTGATACACCTTCGTGCAGAGAGTTTGCTCAGACTTTTCAAATGTTTAAAAAACGCCGTAAACGCTGTATTGTTGCAATTTCCGCTCTACAAACTCTCTACTGACAATTCTAAATTCTCAACAAACTCCCGCAAATGCTTACGTAAATGCTAAACAAACGTTTGAAACTTCTTATTTTCGTCAGGGTTTTTCAACATGGAGAATTACGTTTCACTGCTGTCGTATGTCGTGTTTCACTACTGCTGTTGCACTTGTTCATTGTCCAGTTTCAAGTAGACTAAACAATACGGAGCTGACTCATCAGCTGTTCGGGAGTTATTAGCTTAATCAGTCATAATCTATTTCGACATGGTGGAGGTTGGTATAAGTAGTGAAACGGAGTCGTGCTCAGAACAGTCTCGATATTAAAGCATAATATTGAATGTACAAAACAAGTAGACGGTAGAGAAGTAGAAAAATAGTCAATTATCGCGTGCATACGCGCGTGTCGATGCACGTGTTATCTGTGAAATGTGTTATCGGCGATTACATCGTTCGCGCAATCCAGAAGAATGGCGATTTTTATTGCGTTCGCGATAACGCCACACTTGTTGCGCAGCGTGAAAATTATACCATAATTGCATCTTTTACCTCGACGAAATAGATAAAATTTACCGCGGATCGCTCGATTTTCGCTTGCGACATTTGTCCTGCCGAATAGAGTGTCTCAATTGTGTGCATTGTGAAAGAAATTGCGTTTATTGCCGGCTGTTGTCGGCGCGGCTATATTTATAACGGGCCATTAAAGGATTTTTGCAGGAATACACATCAGTCTGAAGATGGAAGAGCTGTTAATCAATCAAACGACTTCTTTGTGCAATGGGAATGTAAGATGTAATGGGTATGAAGCAGCTTCATCGATGACGAGCAATAACGAGCCACGGGAAGCGCCGGTGTCGAATACTCTCGTGTTTTACGTAAACGGGAAGGAGGTGCGACAGGCTTATTTTTCTCATAATGTGATTTATTATTGTTTTTGAATACTAAATATTAAAATATTGTGTCGTGATCTCTCTAGGTATCGGACAAGGATGTTGATCCACAATGGACGCTCCTGTGGTATCTTCGCAACAAGCGTATCCTTTTCCAAGTTTATGGATTCGTACTTCTTCGTGAGAAATGACAAAAATGGGATGATAACAAAAATGACAAAATAATGTAGTTACATTGATATATTTATCCTTGATTATAGATGTATCTAGTTCAGTTAACTGGCACAAAACTCGGTTGTGCGGAAGGAGGCTGTGGAGCATGCACTGTTATGATCTCAAAATTCGACCGCGCCGCCAACAAAATTATGTATCCTTATTTTGCCAACTCATCGTCAAGAGACGGACACGTTATTCTTATAATCATATTTATTTTATAATTATTATAAAATATTTAATTCCTTAATGTTCTTCTTATCGCGCGAATCTCTCGAGACAGTCATATGGCCGTTAATGCGTGTTTAACACCAGTATGTGCTATGCACGGTTTGGCTGTAACTACTGTGGAAGGTATTGGTAGCACACGGACAAAGTTGCACCCAGTGCAAGAACGTATCGCCAAGGCGCACGGATCGCAATGTGGCTTTTGCACGCCTGGTATAGTCATGTCGATGTATGCTCTTTTACGCAGCATACCGAAGCCGACCATGGAAAATTTGGAAGTCGCGTTTCAAGGTAATGCGTCCGAGAGTGAGGAAAATTATTTACCAGCGTTGGGCATTATCGATTAAAGTTCTTTGCCAAAAATAATCGGTGAATTAATAATTAAAATTATTCAATAATTATATATGTAACCATAAATAGTTTAATCGAATGATGAAATCAATTATTAATCAGTGTATTCAGTATCAATCATTACAATCAGTGTTAAGTCACATTAAAGTTTGATTAATAATTAATTTCATTAATCTGAAATTATTTGCAATTTTATATATAACGATTAATTTTGATTATTGAGTTGCTAATTATTTTAATGAAAATAAAAATTGTAATACATGTAGTAACGTGGCTTCCTTCCCTGGGAAAGCAACTTTTGAAAAGTATCGGTATCTTTTGAGGAAAATAGTTTATCGTTATCGTTATTCAGTTTGAAACGTAACTTGTTATTGTTATCGTTATCGTTAATGTTAGGTAATTATTCAAGAAGTAATTATTTTTTCTCTAATTTTTTTGCTAAGCAGCACAAAATATGTTAGTCTAATATTAAACTTATAGCGGCCAATATAGAATCTGTAACGGCCAACTGTTGGCCAATTAATATGTGCTGTTCGGGTTTACAATTCTCAACAATTCTTACGTTATTTTTCTCATTAAGTTTTGAAGACCTTTTTTTATTATATACTACCGCTTATTCCACATAAATGTACGTAATATACGTAAATGTACGTAAATGTCCATGTGTAAAATAATGTAAAAATAATGATTATTCCAAATAGTATAAGTATCTAAAATATATCTTAAAGACATTCTAAAAACGTCTAAAACAAGTAGAATATCTTTCAAACGACTCTAAAATATCTTTTAACGATTTTATATTCTTATGTAAAATCGCTATATATTATATTATCTTTAGCGATTTATTTGCTAACATTTATGTGCTGCAAGATATTCATAACCGTTACTAATGAAAGACGTAATGTCATTATTAAGTCGTTATTGTGAACAAAGTAATTTATAACGGTAACATTTTAAGCAACGCATTACTTTCTCTGCTTCCTCGTCAATATTGCTCTACATAGTCGACCTGAATAATTGCAGGTGGGAATTAGCTATGCGTTTCTTACATACGTGTAATTTCTAGGCAATCTATGCAGATGTACAGGATACAGACCGATTATAGAGGGATTTAAGACTTTCACGGAGGAATGGGAGCAGTCGCAACTAATGGCTAACGTGCGTGATAATGATAAAAACGATACGAGAGTTTGTTCGTTGGGCGACGCTTGCTGCAAGAGGGCTTTCACGTCGGAACCAACGGAGGTTTTTAATTCCAAGGAATTCTGTCCGTATGATCCTACTCAGGAACCAATATTCCCGCCGAAATTGAAAGCAAGTTGTCATCGTTAGGAAGATGTCGCGTCAACTGACGTATTGTAAAATAGCACGAGCTGTTAATCGAGAATAACTTTCATTGTGCAGATCGAATCTAGACTGGATGAACAATTTCTGATAGTGAAAGGGACAAATGTCACTTGGTACAGACCTACGATTTTGAAGACGCTGCTCGCTCTCAAAGATCAGTTTCCGAATGCTAAAATCGTTATTGGCAATACCGAAATCGGTTCGTATGTTTTTCTTTTTTTTTTTTCGTTTTATAGAAAGTGTTGCAATATCAAGAACAAAAATGTTATAATTTATGGTGTGTATGACCTATTATATTGTTGATTGTACTACAGGCGTCGAAGTGAAATTCAAACATTTGGTGTATCCTGTGCTCATACAACCAATGCAGATAAGAGAAATGCGTGAAATCGTCGAAACGCAGAGCGCATTGAAAGTAGGTGCAAGCGTTACCTTGGTAGAGCTTGAAGAAGCATTGAAACATCAAATTAAGATTAAACCTGGTAATGTAATAAATTAGATATTATATTTTTGCAATCATTTTCGTTGTGATATACAGAGTGGGAAAAAAGGTCGGTATCTCTGAATAACTCAAAAAATATAAGTTTTATAGAAAAATGTTTCAGAGTTGAGAAAGTTACCGCCGGCATTGGCTAAGGTATATCACGCGGAGGTCGGATTTACATCTTTTTCGTGTATGAGTGTGTGTACGTGTGTGCATGTGTGGGTGAGTGGATGTGATATGACGGTCCTTACTCCTTATCTGTTCCTTATCATCGTAAACATTCACCCAATCATCCATGCATCCATCCATACACACGCACGCACGCACGCATGCACGCACTCACACACATAAAATCAGTCGGATTTACACGAAAGAGGTGTAAATCCGACTGAGCAACCTCCGCGTGGTACACCTTGGGTAATGCTAATGCCGGCGGTACTGTAACTTTCAAGTTTCATTACTCAAAAAGTACTTAATGAAAAAATATGTTATTATAGTGTTTTGGAAAGCTCTCGAGATAAGCTATAGGAATATGCAATAAAAAATAGGTGATTTTATTTGAAAAATTCAAGAGGACCTTGTCTTGATCTCGGCGAGCCACCCAAGGTCAAACTAATAATATCAATAAATAAATCTCTTTACATCCTACAACTTCTGTTTGAAACATTTTTCTATAAAACTTATATTTTCTGAGTTATTCAGAGGTACCAACCTTTTTTCCCCACCCCATATATTTCTAAAAAGCAGATAACACAGGATAATTTCTTTGCCATAGATTATAGTACAAGAATTTTCGTGGAGATAATAAATATGCTACATTGGTTTGCTGGGAAGCAAATAAGAAACGTTGCTGTGAGTAACGAATGTTCTCTTCGCATCGCTCAATGATCATTTATAAACGATAAATTTCTTTGAAATAATCAGGCGGTGGGTGGCAACATAATGACTGGCAGTCCGATATCAGACTTGAATCCGATCTTTATGGCCGCGGGTATTAAATTGAATTTAAGTAGTTTAACACACGGTAACAGAACAATACTAATGGACCATACTTTCTTCGTTGGATATCGACGTAATGTTGTATTACCTGAGGAAGTGTTAGTATCCATCGATATTCCTCTCACGAAACAGGTAATTTTAATGTACAAGCAACTTTGCAGTGTCACAAAGTCTATATATATGTATATTTACACACATACACACACACATACCATACACATACAGGGTGGGCCATTTCAATTTATCTAGCTGAATATTTCGAAAATTAAGACCGGCAGACAAAAATATTTCAGACAAAAGTTACATGGATTGATGGGGGACATAAGAAGGTATCATTGGTTTGACTTTGCGTGACCCCGCCAAGATCAAGTCAAAGTCAACTTTGCTTTTTTAAATAGAAACATACATTTTTTATTACGAAATCTTATTTTACATAAAGAAGCAAACAACTTTTGTTTGAAAATATTTTTTATCCGACCTTTATTTTCTAAGATATTTACGAAAATATCTACAAAATTACTGGTTTCAATAATTTTGTACATATTTCCGTAAATATTTTGGAAAATAAAGGTCGGATAAAAAATGTTTTCAAACAATAGTTGTTTACTTCTTTACGTAGAATAAAATTCCATAATAAAAAATGTATGTTTTTATTTAAAAAAGCAAAGCAACCTCGACCTGACCTTAGCGGGGCCACGCAAGATCAAATCAATGGTACCTTCTTATGTCTCCCATCAATCCATATTTTGTCTGAAACATTTTTGTCTGCCGGTCTTAGTTTTCGAAATATTCGGTTGGATAAATTAAAATGGCCACCCTGTATATACATACATCCATACATATATATATATATATATATATATATATATATATATATATATATATATATATATTTATTTATTTATTTATTTATTTCTGTATTTCTTGCAGAATCAATACTTTATTGCCTACAAACAAGCGAAAAGGCGTGACGATGATATCGCCATAGTCAACATGGCTCTAAATGTGTATTTCGTGCCTGACTCAAGCACAATTCAGGAAGCTCATCTTGCATTTGGTGGAATGGCACCTACTACTATTCTAGCAAGGCGGACATGTCAGAAGATGATTGGCAGGTAATATAAAAAATGTTTACGCGTCACAAGCACTTTTGCTTATATTAATATCAATGATTTCAGAAAATGGAATAAATCGATCTTGGAGGAGGTTTACGATTCTCTGATCGAAGAATTACCGTTAGAAGATAACGCACCGGGTGGAATGATTAAATATCGTCTGTCTCTTACACTCAGGTGCATTACTAAATAACTAAAAAGGAGTAAAACGTGAATTAGTGAAGCATGTTGCGTTTAACACATATCATATGTTTTGTAGCTTGTTCTTCAAAGGATTTGTGCATATCTCCAAACAATTATCGCAATATACTTCCGATGTGGAATTTCTGCCGAAGGAACTGGAAAGTGCATCGGATTGTTTCCATTATAAAGCACCAAAGAGCTCACAATACTACCAAGTGGTAATGTTTCAATATACATGGTTACAAATTATTATTAAAATATGTGAATATAATGTCTAAAAATAAATATATAATATATTTAAAGGTACGAATTATATACTATACTAATTATATACGAATTATATATTCTATAATTTTTAATATACATAGGTGCCTAAAGGCCAAGAGTCACACAATTTATTAGGACGTCCCATCGTGCATACTAGTGCATTTAAGCAAGTAACCGGGGAAGCGCTATACTGTGACGATATGCCAAAGTTTACAGGAGAATTATATCTGGCATTGGTTCTTTCTACTAGGGCACACGCAAAAATTCTAAGAGTTGACCCTACCAAGGCACTGTCCATGGAAGGAGTTGTATCATTTTTCTCTGCAAAAGATATAGCGGAAGATAGAAGATGGATAGGTCCTGTATTTCACGATGAGGAAATATTTGTGTCGGAAAAGGTAAATTATAATATAAATATTATAATATATTTATCTATATTATAATTATAATATAGATAAAGGAAAAATAACTATTACAATTTAGAAAATAATTATTACAATATAAAATGTAATATAAACATAGAATAAGTTTTACGTTTACTTCTTATCTTACATTCTTGCGAATATATGCGGTTTTAAATATTCATTTCTCCTTTTTTTTCTGGTTTTTCAGGTTACCAGCAATGGTCAAATCATTGGTGCGATTGTTGCTATTGATCAAAGCATTGCTCAAGCCGCGGCAAGAATGGTTAAAGTAGAATATGAAAATATAGAACCCATTATCATATCTCTCGAGGTATCAGGTTCATCTATTCTATACTGTGACACAACTCAGTTCGTTAATCAAAATGCACTAGTAAATATATGAACACACTCACTTCTTTTTATAGGATGCCATTAAGTACAAATCATTCTTTCCTAATTGTCCAAAGCGCATTATCAAAGGCAATGCGGAGAAAGCTTTTGCGGAAGCGGACCATGTTTTAGAAGGAGAAGTACGAATAGGCGGCCAGGAACATTTTTACTTGGAAACACACGCTGCTATCGCTGTACCTCGCGATGGGGACGAATTGGAAGTGTTCTGTTCCACGCAGCATCCCACCGAGATACAAAAATTGATTGCCCACGTTCTAAATATACATATAAACAGAGTTAACGTCCGTGTTAAGCGCTTAGGCGGCGGATTTGGCGGGAAAGAATCCCGTCCGGTGTTACTCGCAATACCAGTGGCATTCGCAGCACATAAGTACGTAAATATGTCTACTGAAATGTGCGTACGTACAGAATGTCTCGTCAAAATTTAGATATCACTTGACTTTTTACTTACAAAAATGTTTGTCATTGTCATTCTCTCAAAATTGTGTCCATAAGTCGAATAGCTATTGAGTAACTGTTTATCGATTTACTTATTTAGTTGTTTATATACTGTTCGTTATAAAATTATGCGGTGTGAATTTATGCCCTCGAACAATAATATTAAACATAGATTGCAGAAGCCAGTTCGTTGTATGTTAGACAGAGATGAAGACATGATGGTAAGTGGAACACGGCACCCATTTTTATTCAGATACAAGGTTGGATTTAATAATAATGGTTTGATTAAAGTGGTGGCAGTACACATATACAGTAATGCAGGTTACTCTCATGATTTGTCAATAGCGGTAAGTATGATTGTATAATAAAAAAAACTGACGTTTATTAAGGATTTTATCCTATTGATTCTACGTGTCTCGAGAGAATGATGATTATGAATGTCTGCAGGTATTAGAACGTGCTATGTTCCACTTTGAAAATGCATACAAAATCCCAGTGTCAGAAGTGTACGGATACGCTTGTAAGACGAATTTACCGTCGAATACAGCTTTCCGAGGCTTTGGCGGGCCACAAGGAATGTTTGTGGCTGAAAATATTATCCGACAAATTGCTAATTATTTGCAAAAGGATGTCGTGAAGGTAATGCAATTTACATTGCATAATAAAGTATCATAGAAGAAGAAACTTCCTACTTTAGAAGGAAACCAGAAACTAACCAAAAGCTAATTTAATAATTTATTAATTTAAAAGCTAATTTATTAATTTATCTTGGCATTTCCAATTTATGCTTCACAAGTGAGTGAGTACACCAAATAACTTCAAAAATCTTTTTCTTCGGCAGTTGTCCAAGTTAAATTTGTATAAAGAAGGCGACGTAACGCATTATAATCAACAACTTCTCAATTGCACTTTGGATCGTTGCTGGAACGAATGCCTAGCATCATCCTGTTATAATGAAAGATTAGCTGAGGTCCAACGTTATAATAAGTGAGTATATCGTAGTTCAACCATTGCAAACTATATTAATAATGATAAAAATCAATGATTAATCTTGCAGAGAGAATCGATTCAAAAAAAGAGGTATTGCCATTGTACCTACGAAGTTTGGTATAGCATTTACTGTACTGTTTTTGAATCAAGGCGGTGCCCTTGTACACATCTATACCGACGGCTCCGTTTTAATAAGTCACGGTGGCGTTGAAATGGGACAAGGTCTACATACAAAAATGATTCAGGTACGAGTAAAATACTTTAGTATCTTCTCTCTCAAGACGCAATCAAGACATGGATACCTTATGAGATATACAGCAGACTCCTAATTAACTGGTCTCTGCCGAACCGAATTCCAGACTAGATAAACGAATGGTCGATTAATTTGAAAACACTTACATGTTGTTTATTATTGATATATTCCAATACTTTTAATTAACACATTCAATTTGTTCGAGCCAATTTTATTTTTAACTAACGTAATCTTAAAATATAAATTTAACGACGTACACACACATACACACATACACACGCGAAGTGTGACAGCAATTTAAACAGTACAGAAAGTGTAAATACTACCTAAAGTGAAATAATTATTAGATCGCTATAGTGTGTATTCGTTGAACTCCTTTTCAGAATCTTTCAATCTTGTTTTGCTGCTAAGTTCATTGTTCCAAAAATCTGATGCACAGAAAAATCTCGATAATTAAAGCAAAGCTGGATGAGAGAGAGTTTACTGTATATTTCATATTTTATTCTATGTATTTAACATGTATATTTTTTTATTGCAAACCATACAAACTTTTTTGTTACTTGATAACATGGATATCATAGTTTCTACTATTGATAATACATTTCAAAGATAATTATATATTTTGTTAAAAAATGCAAATATACAAATATATTTTCAATATATCTTCATTTTGACATAAAAAACTGCCAGTATTATAAATCTATTTTGAGGATTCTATTATGGTACGTTTTACTGTTTTTAAATCAGATTCATTAAACTGAAAAATAATAAAAAATATCAAATAAAAAAAATATATATATAAAAGACATTATTTTATATTTATGTATTTTCAATTACACACACATACAAAATACATATAAAATACGAAATATCATATTCTGCCAGGTTGCCAGCAAAGTGTTAAAAGTAAGCCCGGATAAGATACACATAGTGGAAACGGCTACAGATAAGGTGCCGAATACATCCGCTACCGCGGCGAGTGCTGGATCCGATCTTAATGGCATGGCTATTATGGTAATGACAAATACTATCCTACTATATGCAAATAAACACTGATACTAAGTAGTTAAATTAACTTGGCAGAACGCGTGCAAAGAGATCATGAAACGACTGCAATCAATAATAGACAGCAATCCGGATAGCACTTGGGAAGATTGGATAAAGACAGCGTACTTACAGAGGATAAGCCTGTCTGCTACCGGTTTCTATCAAACGCCCAATATCGGCTATTCTTTCGAGACTAATGCGGGAGCACCGTTTAATTATTTTACATACGGCGTCGCTTGTACGGAAGTTGAAATCGACTGTCTCACCGGCGATCACGAGGTACGATTTTTTTATAATATTTGATAATAATGTAATTTTTTAGTATAATTTTTTCTCTCTTCCTTCTTGTTATTGTTTAAGTACTTTGTTAACTCTTGTTAATTTTATACATAAACTCGTTTATGTATAAGGCGTTTATGTATGTCATTAATAACGTAATTTCCAATTACGCATAACGCGAACTCAAGTTGTTAATATTTATGATGTTATTGTAAATGTGAATAATATTTTTGCATTGATACACAGGTTCTACGAACCGACATCGTCATGGATTTGGGCGAAAGTTTAAATCCAGCTATCGATATAGGACAGGTTGAAGGCGCCTTCATCCAAGGATACGGCTTATTCACAATAGAGGAAATGATCTATTCACCAACAGGGGTTTTATTCAGTAGAGGACCTGGCGCGTATAAGCTACCAGGTTTCACTGATATACCAAAGGAATTTAACGTTTCCTTGTTAAAAGGTGTTTCCAATCCGAGAGCGGTATATTCTTCAAAGGTATGACATTCTTTAACATAACTTATCATTCGAGTGTTTCTCACTTTTACAAACACTTGACAATTGTGCTAAAGTAGACTAGAATGTAATTCGAAAAAAAACGGGTGGCAATAGAGTATTATTATAATACTGTTATTGTTCAAACATTTGCAGGCTGTCGGTGAGCCGCCGCTATTTCTGGCATCGTCCGTATTCTTCGCCATCAAAGAAGCAATTCAGGCTGCGCGTAAAGATATGAATATTCACGATTATTTCAGATTAGATGCTCCTGCAACTTCCGCACATATACGCAACGCATGCATAGACAATTTGACAATGAAGGTAATGTACCGACAATTTCTTCCCCTATTCTTTGTATGAATTTATCTTTCAACATTATTCCCTCCCTCTTTATATGTGTATATTCTTAAAATTCTTGTATTATTTTGCAGATTAAAGAACCTGATTTGAAGAAACAGTGGAATATGGTGCCATGATAGAATCCCTGAGACAGATTCTTGATTTTGCAGTTATTTTTATATTGAAATAAAGACATATTGAAAATATATCTGTATATTCGCATTTTTAGCAAAGTAAATAATAATTTTCGAAATATATTATCAATAGTAGAAACTACTATATACATGTTATTAAGTAACAAAAAAAGTTTGTGTGGTTTGTAACATAAAAAGAATAAAGTGCTGATGCTCAAAATTAAAACTGTGTTTAGTAAATAATAACAATATAATTTATAAACTGAAATATATTATGAACTGAAATAATGTTAATTATTATACAGTGAAGCATATGTACCTACATAAATAACAAATTTTCTTTATTTACTTGTTATATACTTAATATATTACATTTAGAGTTCAAATTTTATATCTCTTACATTTCTAACATAAGAGATCTAATCTTTAAATATTTTTACAAATATTGTTATTATTATATGAATTGTCCTTAGTTATAATCTAATAACTCAACAATATTTTGGATAGAATAGATAGGAAAATATATAATTATTTAATAAAGATGAAATTTATATAGAAAAATAGTTAAGATAATTAAAAAAATTTTAATTACATATTTTTTAATAATTGTGTTAATTTATAAATAACCTATATATAATATATTTAATTATACATTGCTTATCCCAGATTTTTCAACAGTTTCCAACAGCGTCTGTAGATTAGTTTCAAATAGTTCACACCGAATAGGCATTTCTAATGCATAAAATGGATTTTTCAGTGCATAATCAGCATACAAGTCATATACTCTCTTTAACAAAATCTCCATGCCTGGTTGAGAAGGTTCAGCTACTATCATGAACTTAATGCCTGTCAATGTTTGGAAACAGTATAAACGAAATGTATCTGCTTCTAGTACTTCAATTCCAGAACTACGTGGTTCGGGACTTAGTTGACTTGCTATAGCAAAAAGTGGATAAAACATTGAAGCTAAAAATATTTTCTCATTTGTGGTCATCTTTGCTCGACTAAATTTTAATGTTATAGGAAAATTTTCTGACTGTTCTAACATGTTCAATGCATCTCTTCCATCTTCAAGTTCACGTCCTGTGACTGTGATTCCGTTTACAGCTGTCAATACATGACCCACTGAAAGCATTTTATTTAATCTCTTTAATAACTTATTTTAAACTTTTTGTTATACTTTACAATATTACTGCATATACTATTATTTTTCTCTCATTATATGTATATAATTCTAAATAGTACTGTTATTCTAAATAAAACATCTGATGCATATATATATATATATATATATGTGTGTGTGTGTGTGTGTGTGTGTGTGTGTGTGTGTGTGTGTGCTCTTTTCTTACCATTTATTCCATCCCTTTGCCCGAAAGCTACCATCACTTTTTTATTCTCATAATTCAATTTGATGTCCAGTGGATAATTAAAAGATTTTTCAACTTCGATTTTCGGAACATTGTGGTCATGATTGAAAATCAAACCACCAGATTTTGATACGATATAGACACCATATATCACCATTATGTATTGCACGTTTCGAAGATTATAAATATACTCATCAGGTTTTTTAGATGAGTTTATCTTATATTTCTGGTCTTTTATATCTTGTTATTAAAGAGACAAACATTTATTCTATCATCTATTTGGTTATACTGTTGAAAAGTGACAGTTCGTCTGTTTTGTCATTTCGTCTGTTCATTTTAGTTGCACCGGGATGCGTTCGGAAACATCACTTGGGTGCAGGGTTGGGCAATTTGGCGCCGCGAATGGTTTCTTACATTTTTTACGTATGAAACGTATAATACGTATAGAAACGTATGAAACGTATGAAATATATTATATATATCAAAATTCTAAGTCCCGATTTACAATAAATGTAGTAAGCTTTAAGCCGTAAGAAATTGACCAATCATAGTCGAGTATTCTTCTCATATTTGACTCAGTCAAATTGACTGTGATCAATTTCTTATGGCTTAAAGCTTACTACACCTATTGTAGATCTGGCCTTATTCCGTCTTATGTCGTTAAAAGCGAAATTCTAACCTAATAAATAATCGAATAAGTTATGTTATATAAATAAAGTGTTTCAAAAATAATATACGAATAATATATGAATGAAATATACGAATAATATACGAAAAAATAATATAAGTAAGTAACTATTACAGCCCATAAATCCAAATAAATTGTTAGATATTGACAATTTCTTTCTATTCTTTTAGATTTTATAATGAGCGCGGATAAAATGAAACAAGCCAAATACGAGTTGAAACGTTCTCATCCTAATTCAGATGAATTAATTAATTTAGCTTTGGCAAAATTTTTCTTTGGCTGCAACATATCTTTTAATGTTGTTGAGTCCAATTTGTTTAAGGAGTTTATAAAACTAAATCCAGATTACCAAATTCCATCAAGAAAAAAACTTTCAAATCAATTGCTAGATAAAGTTCACAGTGAAATAACATCTGCAGCTGTAAAAGAATATGAAACACTAGGTGTACTGTTAATCGATGGTTAGAAGAATCTGCTGCTAATAGCAAACTAGTTGCGCATGCGCAGTTTCGTCTTTTGATCCGACGACACCAGTTTAGCGTTAGAGTATTATTTAGCGTAGATTGCTAAACCTCCCTATTATCACGTATTTTTTCATACAAAAGTTACACTAGCCTCAGGTAGCCGTCAAGAAAACTTTAGATAAGCTAAGCATCTTCGATCACTCGATTAATTGCACATGCGTATTACTATGGTGGCGCCACTTTATGTATCATACGTATTATACCTAGTTTCATACGTGTATATAACCAATGTATAATATGTTAAGTATAATACGTGCCCAACCCTGCTTGGGTGCTCTCCCTCTCTTTTCATCTCACTCTCGTATCTCTCTTACTCCAAAGCAATGGGTGCACCGAGATGACGTTTCCGAATGTACTCCTGGATACCTATTATGGAGTTCTTCGGAATCAATTCTGATCGGAAACATTCAGTTATTTCCTAGATTTCTATTGTCTTTTCTAGGGGAAACGGAATTATTCCGATCGGAATTGAGGCCCATGGCATGTATTTTCCGCGTACCGCGTAAACACGTAATAATATATTGCGACGTTTAGTATTTCTGTTGAAACTTCTAAAAGAATAGAAAGATGTGATTGGTTACGCGGTTACGCATTACGCGAAAATACGTGCCATGGGACTCCATCCTGGGGTGCTATTCCGTTACCGTGGTTCCGACAGTTGTCGGATCGGTAGGCGTCGTTGCGCAGTTTTTCTACGGTATAAAAAAGCTGTGCAACGACGCCTACCGATTCGACAACTGTCGGAACCACGGTAACGGAATACCAGCCCTGGGCTGCGTTCAGATTCCCCACCCGGGTGTATTCTATTACTAGAAGTGCTATAGTATATGTCACATATAGGCTCCGTTCCGCAAAGCGCATCATGCGCATAATGCGCTGCGTTGGAGCAAAAGAGATACGAGAGTGAGATAAAAAGAGAGAGAGAGTACTCGGGTGATGTTCTCGAACGCATAAAAGCGCATGGACTACACTACCTCGGGAGCTGAGACAGCCTATGCGCTCTCATGCGTTCGAGAACATCACCTAAGTGCTCCCCTCTCTTTTTATCTCACTCTCATCTCTTTCATTCTAATGCAGCGTATCGTGCACATGATGCGCTCTGCGGAACGCAGCCATACTATAGTGTTTCTAGTAATAGAGTGCACCCGGATGAGGAAACTGAACGCACCTCTGGGTAGCGATCACGAATCTTTCACGTGAACTTCATTTTCATTTTTCACTTTTCACTGTAAGTTATTTCACATGTAAAGTGAACAATGAAAATGTGGAAAGCAATATTTATGTAATATAGATTATTATAATTAAAATGTAATTACAGTATACAAAATGTAATATATAACACATTAATAAGCATTATACAACTTAAATTTATGGTTATAATATAATAATACAATATGAGTAAATTTAATAAATGAGACGAACGTTAACCGTGAAAGGTGAATTCTCAAAACGTGAAATATTTCACGTGAAATTTCAGTTTGCTCGTTTATGTTCTTCTTTAAATGTAAATTATGTAAGTTTCCATGAAAATTTTTAAGCATCAAGCGATGTGGTTTAAATGTGAAAAATAATGTAATACTACGCTCGCATATTATGTACAAAGGCTGCGTTCCGAAATTCACTGCCAGTACTGAAATTCTATAATATACGTAACATGAACTATAGATTTTCAGTACTGGCAGTGCATTTCGGAACGCAGCCAAAGTGAGTAGAATTTTTTATAGTGACTTTAATTTTTATAGTTATACGATAATTGGCATAAGTTTATAGTTATACGATATTTGACATAATTTTATAGTTATACGATATTTGACATAAGAATCCTACGTTCATTAAAAATAAACAATAAAAGCCAATTGAAGTGTGATGACGTATAGGCAGTGAAAGCATACCGACAAAGTTTGCAAAGTTAAGATACGTATGCATCAGAAAGTTAAAGTGTAATATAATATAAATTGTATGCAGTAAGTAAAATTATGTAAGTTTATTTTATGTATTTATTGCATTATTTTAATTTAAATTATGTAAGTTTATTTTATGTATTTATTGCATATATTTTATGTATTACTTTATATGAAATATATATTTTCTGCAGATTTATAATTTTAATATGAATAGAATATTTTATCTTCTAATAATTTATCTTAAAGTAATCCCAGACAAGCAGACTTCCAAGGGACGTTCTAAAGACATCACTATGTCTTAAAAACATGCTGAAAAAATTCTAAAGATGTCCATTGCAAATTGGTGTTGACTTGAGTATATTGTAATATTTGTTTTACTTACAAATTCACGTTAAATCTTTCATTTATCACGAGTTCATTACAAAATTTTCACTTTTCACGAGTTCACACTAGGGGAAAAGATTCATGATCGTTACCCTGATTCTGAAGAAGTTCATTATGGGGGAGCGGTGCACTTGGACACGGTGCATTTGGACCGAAAAAAAAGGCTTTAATGACATCTTAAAATGGAAGTCATAAGGAACTCTTAGAAAAGGCCTCAACATGTAAATTCTTGAATGTTGTAACGAAAAGCGCGTACGCAGTGATTGTTTGTATTTTAAGCCGAGTCTGATGTTTTTTCATCTCCTATGGCATTAAAAGTGGACATCTACAGATACACACAAGAGCAGCACTCCAGGCCAAAGTTTCTGATCTTCCTTACGTGTGGATACAATAAAATTTATTAAATCCGAAGAAATCTTTTTGAGTTGAAGTAATTCTATATGAATACTCTAATGGCTCCTGCACACAGGACGCGGTAATGCTTGCCGCGCAGCGAAAGTTCGCGCGACAGCCAATCAATATGCTGCTTTCCGTAATAACCTTCTAGTTCTTACGGAAAAACAACATATTGATTGGCTGTCGTGCGGACTTCCGCCGCGCGGTAAGCATTACGCGTCCTGTGTGCAGGAGCCATAAGAAGTTCTGAGGAACTCCAATCATGGTGCATGTAACTTCCTAAATCATTCTTATAGTATTCTGCCATAAATTCCTAAGGAAGTACAATTCAGAAAAGGAGAAAACTTTAGGAACACTTAAAGAATTCATCGTGCTATCTGGGCATGTTACATTGCATGTTACATTCCGTTTCATTACGGCAATGTAACTGTTATATATCTGTGTTTGCTAGGTACGTATTGGAAAGACGTAATAGTATAGTAGAAGTAATAAAAAGAATATAGTAAATACGACTTCTATTGTGAAAGTATAATATCAAGATGAAATACTGCATTATAAAAGGATGTAATAATTCTGCTATGTCTTAAAAACATAGAGGTGTTCTCTGGACATCTTTATAGTCTCTCTGAATGTCTCTTGGAAGTCTGTGCTCTCTAAGATGTCATATTTATACTCATCAACGTAATCTTGCTTGGGATCAAGTGTAAAAAGTGTATCAAAATTGCAATTACACTCGTAACACAAACGGAACTCATGACGTCATTTTTAGAACCTTGGAGTCGATTCTGTATCTCGAAACAAAGTGAAAATTACAAAAGTGAGCAAATATACTAGAATATTCGTAATTTCATTCGTCAATACCTAGTGAATGTGCTCATTTTTGTAATTTTCACTTCGTTTCGAGATACAGAATTGACTCTCTCTAAAGAATTAATGTGCACTAAGTGTGC